ACACACACACACACACACACACACACGATACTCACACACATATACACACACATGATACACTTAGACAAGCGCACAGCCCTACACATGCACACACGCACACACACACAAACACACACACATATACATGCATATGCCCACACAAACACACTGTACTCATACACGTACACGCAAGTGATGTATTCGGACATGCGCACATGCTTGCACACGCACACACTAACACACACACACACACACACACACACACACACACACACACAAACACACATACACACACATTCAAAGGTACAACACTTTCAACAATGCCCTGCCCCCCTCCTAACCTTGCCCCCCGTTTTCCCTCTATGTTTTTACGAGCCTCCAACGACCGTACAGAAGCTCACAATTAGCGTACATTACCCGGACAAGCCTGAACAAACGTGAGCCATGCCGTGGCCATTCAAACAGGAAATCAGTGACAACTAGACGCGAACAAAGAGTAATGGTTGACCTCGCGCGCTGGACCTCGCTCTAGTCATGTGACACGCCTGGAGGCTCCCAGCGTTCTGTTTGGGACAGTTTAATAGAGGTTAATTCCTGTAGGGCCAACGTTTTGCCACCAGATAATCTGCCCCGATTCACGTCTGCAGCTGGGTAGCGAGTGTCTGTGGTGTAGCTGTTAGACGCTTCGTCGTTGCTCGCAGAAGACCTGGGCTCGATTCCCGTGTGAGGAGAATTTTTATCGAGTTTATCTGCTGGGATGTTGTATCCCCCTCATCCCGGGTTGGCCTTGACAAGCAGGGTCGAAGGTGCCTCCCAAAAGAGCCAAAACGTTCCGATATTTTTGAAGGGGGTGGAGGGAGGCGGGGTAAAACACCTACAATAAAATAGAAAAAACAAAAACAAAACAAAAACCGCTGCTGGAAAGGTAATTTTCCCTGGAAGAACCGGAATTTGAGCTCTTGCATTTGCAAATAACGGTCACTATATGACAGTTCGTGATGTAGGCCTCACGATTGCGGGTCCGAATCCTAACCACTGAGCAAAAGACACCGATGTCAGAAATGAACAGAAAAGAAAAGTAAAGTAACTGTATTTTGTGGCGACAAACCCTCGAGTAAAAAGTGCATAAAAGAGCGTATTCAGTGAGGATACAGCTTGTCGAGGGGACAGATTATGGTAATTAAAAACAAACAAAAAATAAAACCAAAATACCCCCCCCCAAAAAAAAATAAAAAAAAATAAAATAAAATAAAAATAAAAATAAAAATCGACAAAACAAAACCACAACTCAAAACAAAACCCAATCCATTATTTGCGTGATTTGAATGTGCACATTACAGGCCTGACCACCCGCCTCTTCCTTTTCAGATTATCAATAGCATAAATTCAGAAACAGGTGTATTGTATGGCTCGTTAATTAACCGACCGGCTCCACAAGGTGTTACAAACCTGGCTTTGATAACCTTGTGACACATCTACGGGACAGCCGATGCTAATTGGCAAACCTAAAAAAACTGCTCACAATTTTTAGGTTGACACACTGACCGCAAGATAAATATAATACTCTTTCAATATTTATTGTTTTGTTAAAAGTTTTACATGCACGCAACTGCATACGGCCATAATATGAACGTGTGTTCTCTCATATTTAAGTAAACTTAATCTTGCTTCATTCTATTCTTTTAAATTTTCCAATTATTTATGTATAGATTTGATTTAATTCTTGGACTTAGATTGTCGCCAGCTGGCCGAGGGATATATAGTCAAAGTTGAGTAAGACAGCCACACATTGTTGCGGAGAAAAACAGTTGTCTTAGACAGACACACGTCTTACACAGTGTAATTGTAATGCAAAAATATATTGAAGATGAAATGGGAAGTGGACATTTGTACAGGTGATTGTCTTATACAGATGGCACTTAGAGTAGGTTCAACGGAAGGAGGCACATCATACTCTACACGCAACAAACACTATGTGGGTGGCGTCATATTTCCAATTTCAACCCATCTTAAATTTGTCCAACTTCCTCCAGCCCCAATCTGTTGATCAATAATCCGATTTGGTAAAAAAAAGACCAACATGATTCTTTAACATCTTCGCTGCTGTGTAAACGTATGCATTCCCTTGTGCTCCACGGGACTGGTTTTCTCACATATAGGTTTTAATGGACTATAGGGACAAGTTAAGAAGTTTTAGAAGACGTAACTACAACAGCTTGTTCAGTTGTTTATTCTTAATTCAGTGGAAGTATTATTACATTCTGGCACTGTCCAAATCTCTCTGGAATTAACAATCTATCTTTTGTGTACAAAGGAATATATGAATATATCTCAGTAATGAAGGGGTTAATGCTGACAAAGACGTCGATTTACACATATCAAGCCAGACTCAACTACATATGTACTTTTGTTTTGCAAAACCGCATAAACAGGTAGATTGTATTGTGACTTATTAATTAACTAAAGGTCACAGGCGTTTTAAACCCAGATTTGATAGTCCAGGGCAAACAACGCTTTCCAAATCTTAGTGAACCACGTCATAATTCTGTGACAGGCACACTGAACGCACCACGGAGTGGGTACATACAAGCAAAGCAGCTTTTATAGACCTGGGCATTTTTAAGGATTGCAGCAGAAATACACACACAGATACACACATACACCCCCCCCACACACACACACACATGCACACACA